TCTGTTCTCCTAAACGCTCTTGCTACAGACCTCACCACACACACACACACACACACACACACACACACACACACACACACACACACACACACACGTACGTTATATGATTCCATTTATGTGCAATGTCCAGAAAGTCAAATCCAGAGTCAGAAAGTAGATTAGTGGTTGCCAGGGGATGGGGGAGGGGAGAAGAGGGCATGACTGTCAACAGGTGATAAAAATGTTCTAGAATTAGTGGTGATGACACACAACCTTCCAAACATACTGAAAGTCACTGAATTATACGCTTTAAAATGGTGAACTTTATGGTATGTGAATTCTAGCTCAATAAGAAAGTTATTTCGATTTACAAAAAGTCCACCCCCTTCCAAGGCTTCCTTCCTTGCCCACCCCACCCTGACAGGACCCCCAACCTTCTCGCTCCCTGCCAGGTCCACTAGATACAGCTTCCCACTGAGCTTCTGCTCGGTCTCCATATTCTCCTGCTTGATATTGATGAGGAAGATGCTATGGCTTCGAGAGCTGTGTTCATTCATGTCTGTAGGAGGGAGGGTGAAACAGTCCCTGTACCAACCCCTGCGGAACTGAAGCCCTCAGCTCCGGCTTCCATGGACCACTGCCTCCACCCGCCAAGAGAGGGGGTGTCCATCAGGACTAGCCTAGCCCCTACGTCTCCCCGGCAGCGGGTCTCAGTGTCACACAGACAAGCGTCCCTCCTCTGGAGGACACAGCCTTCCCTTGCTCACTTTCGCGTCCCTCAGCCCCAGAGGGCACAGAAGAGAGGCAGACCCCACAGTCAAGATCCCCTTGTCTCCCCACTCACTGGTGACAGCCACATGACGATTTGATTTCCCTTCATCAATCACATCTAAAATTTCTTCTGGGCTGGACACAAAGCGCTCGGTACAACCCTGTAGGGGGCAAATGGACAGTGACTCATGCACTTTGATCTGCAAATTAAATTACCTGCACAGTGACCAAATGACCTCTCAAGACGGTGCCTCTTCCCAGGCTCTGGACTCTCCCCAGCCCCTTGGCATGTCTCACCCCACCAGGATGTCCGCCCTCCAACTTCTGGGTGGGCATTTGGTCTACCCTCCCCTACACCTGCACTCTCAATACACTGGCCCCGCCTGGGTGTCCCATCCCCACTCTCACCTTGACAAACGGCACTCGGTTCTTGTCCTCGTGCACAGATAGATTTGTCTTGGTCACTGAATCAAGACAATTAAGGGTGAGCAAGGCCAGCACTTCCAGCCCCCCATCTCCCCAACCCCTGCACGCTGCAGTCTACTCGGATGGTGGATTCTTCTATGTGCAAGAGGGAGGAAGACTCCCCTGTGAAGCTTAAACTCCCTGCACGCGCTGAAGGCTGTTTTTCCTCCTGCAGGATTCCAGCCCCAGGGCTGCAGCTAGACTCAGGCTGTTTATATGTGGGCCTGGGCATCTAAGCTCATCTTCTGACCCTTTTGGTTTCAGGAAATTCTTGGTGAGTGGAGGCAATGGGACATGAGTACAAGTGTGTGTGTCCTTGTGTGCCTGCTGCATCACTCACCAAACAGTACCAAAACCCAAGAGCCCAGAAGCAATGTGATATTTCTCTTCCTTGCCCTCCTCACCGCTACCCACCCACTGGGGTTAAACACCACTCACCATCCAGAAGGTCACGGATTTTGTCCAGGTAAATCTCAAAGTAGGAAACCTGGTTGGGGAGAAAGGAGAAGCATGAAGTGAAGAGAGCCTATCTTAAATCTGATACAGGGACCTCAGGCTAACGCAACCCACTCAAATGGTGGTGGTGGGAGGGAAAGGGCAGAAGAGACTATGTTAGCAGAGAAGAACTTAGGTAACCACGGTGGAGAATAAGCTGGGGCGCCAGGAGCTCAGTGGGTTCATACTAGATCTTCCCCTCCCAGTCCCATAAGAGGACGCCCAGCAGTCATGCCCTGATCACCTTGATGTGGAACTCAAGGTTCTCATCCATGGAGTAGATGTGGTTGAAGATGTCTTGGGCAATTCGAGGAATGATTCCCATCAGCTGAGGGTCATGCAGCTTTCCCTGGGGAGTAAGGGTATCCTGGAATGAGGCTGGGCTCAGGAGGGATCAGACAACTCGGAGGTATGCAGATGAATACAGAGGTAACAGCTGCTAAGGACACTATCCTAACTTAGGGGATGGTCACTACCTTTTAGTGGAAGGAAGAGGGAAGTGAGCAGCCCTCTGGACTTCCATTGCTGCTGCTTTTCCAGGTGAAAAGAAGAAAACTGGAGTAGTGGAAAGGAGGGTGAACTGCAGCAGGCTGAAGGGATTCCATTAAACTTCCACTATAACGCTGCCCTCCATTCATCCTCTGTACCAGGCCTACTGAGATTCCTTGGCCTCCTATTAACACTCCCAGCTCCTCATTCCCATAAAAGTCAGAACCCTCACCTCCATAGTATGTGTCTTCCCTGAGGATGTCTGTCCGTAAGCAAAAATGGTGCCATTGTAGCCAGCAAGGACATCTGAAGAGATGGCAGAGAAAGAACACTGGTAGAGAGAAGCGGGGTAGGGAATGAGGAGCCTGAAAAAAATACATTCTAAAAATACATTCATTACCTTTGACGATCTGCATGGCACATGCATGATAAACTTGCTCCTGAGTCGTGTTTGGAGGGAATACACGATCAAAGATATATGGCTTCCCCTGGAATGGAAAAAAAAGATGGCAGACATCAGTAGGCAGGTGTGAGGGAGGAGAAACACCCAAAAAGGCACCCGTTCTTCAACCCTCTGTACACATGGACAATTATGGGGATGAGGGAAACCAAAGAGAGGCAAAATTTAGTACTGACATCAGGAGCTGTGTCTGTGGGGTAGAATGTCATTAAGGAGTGTCACACAGCGAGACTGCATGAGTGGATCTCAGTCTTGGTGTGATGATTTAGCACTCACCATCCCAGACCCCCAGCCTGGGAAGCCAAATGGGAAAAGACAAGAGGGCCACAGGCTGTGGAGAGTGAAGAACAATACATTAACATTAAAAAATCTACCACTGGAGGCTTCCCTGGTGGCGCAGTGGTTGAGAGTCCGCCTGCCGATGCAGGGGACATGGGTTCGTGCCCCGGTCCAGGAGGATCCCACATGCCGCGGAGTGGCTGGGCCCGTGAGCCATGGCCGCTGAGCCTGCATGTCTGGAGCCTGTGCTCCGCAATGGGAGAGGCCACAGCAGTGAGAGGCCCGTGTACCGCAAAAAAAAAAAAAAAATCTACCACTAAGTTAAAAAATATCTTCCTCAATAGATCCGTATGTCCTGATATGAAAAGGTGTTGAAGATGTATTAAGTGAAAGATGCAAAGTTAGGGACAGATGTATAATATGTTGCCTATTGTGTAAATGAAATACACAAATACCGAACTACTGAGCTGTTGTGGAAATATTAACACAAGCTCTCTTTGTGAAAAGAATATATGAAATCAGAAATATTAGGCCTCTGACTTCCCTGGTGGCACAGTGGTTAAGGATACCCCTGCCAATGCAGGGTACACAGGTTCGATCCCTGGTCTGGGAAGATCCCATATGCTACGGAGCAGCTAAGCCTGTGCGCCACAACTACTGAGCCTGTGCTCTAGAGCCCGTGAGCCACAACAACTGAAGCCCGTGCGCCTAGAGCCCATGCTCCGCAACAAGAGAAGCCACCTCAATTAGAAGCCCATGCACTGCAATGAAGACCCAATGCAGCCAAAAATAAAACAATTAATTAATTTAAAAAAAAAAGAAATATAGATCTCCCTTTAGAGAAGCAGCTTTAAGTAAAGAGAAACTGTGAAGCAAGTCACTCAGAGCTTCAAGTACTTTGTTTAATTCAGGTAATATGTTATAAATCACATGTGCTGATAAGAATGCTAAAGATACAAAATATTTACAACCCAGGGAGCCAAACAGAATATATTTGCTATCTAGTCATATTAAAGGGAAGATCTCTGGTAAGATTAAATGCGACTATGCTTGTTCTCCGTCATAAGTGACAAACTACTCAGTCGTGTTTTCCCGTCATTCGGTATAAAGAGACTATGACTTAGTTGTCAAATTATTTTGCTAGAGTCCATCTTTCTTCAACTGATATGTAAACCTTCAGAGACACCAGAGTTTGGGAGACACGTTTTAACTAATTAGGAAAAGTCATACTTTATTATAAGGTGTATTTTTGGATCCTGGGACATAATAGGTCCTTCAATTTATTCATTTTCTATCCAATCACATTATAAAATATCTTATTAATGTTATTAGCTCCTTTGTTCAGTCTTTTGAAAAGTTAGCAAGTATGAAATCATATGCATGTAATAGTTTTGTCTCTTTCTTTCCAATGTTAATACCGCTTATTTTATTATTTTATCTTAGAATCCCCCAAACAACATTAAATTGTGATCACTGGTTTCCTTTTTACTATGATGTATGCTATTGGTGTCAAATAAACAGTCTTTGCGGTTCAAAAAAAAAAAAGAAATCATAAAAGTTGGCTAAAGCTGAAGATGTGGGTCTAGGTATATATACAATATTGCATCAACATGTGTAGAATTCTTTTCCAGAAGGAATTATATAAAAGTATTAACAGTGGTTATTTGGGGGAGAGAAACTGGGAGAGAGGAGGCTTTCATTTCTCAGTCTGTATCCCGGAAAGTTTACATTTTTAAACCATGTACATGTGTTTTGTTTTGTCTTGTTTTATTAATGCCAAAGAGAGTGAGACGATAGTGTATTATTTTGTTTCCTTCTTTTTACTTCTCTGCAAAAAGGAAAATATTATTTATACTAATAAATATTTTTTAACATTAAATTTTTTTAAAATCTGGCTTATGATAAATATCTACCTGGAATTTTTATCTGGTCTCTGTGGTGAAAGATTCTGAAGCCCAAAAAACAGAATCCACAAAGAGAAGGAAGTTGTGAAGGTGCTCTCTACAACTAAGGGAGTACTGTAAACTGATAGAGGCTTTCTGGAGGACAATTCTATTAAATATTTAAAAGTCCATGCCGGTCATACTCTGTCCCAGCGATTTCAATGCTAGGAATTTATTTTATGTGTGCAGCACACTTGCTTAAGCACTTAAAGATGTGTGTAGAAGGATGTTCACTGCAGCCGTTTGTATCCAAGAAAAACTAGAAACAATTCAAACATCCATCAAGAAGATATCGGTTATGATACCTCCATAACCTACCCCCATTAAAATGAGCAAGGTTGGGGCTTCCCTGGTGGCGCAGTGGTTAAGAGTCCGCCGATGCAGGGGACACGGGTTCGTGCCCCGGTCCGGGAGGATCCCACATGCCGCGGAGCGGCTGGGCCCGTGAGCCATGGCCGCTGAGCCTGCGCGTCCGGAGCCTGTGCTCCGCAAGGGGAGAGGCCACAACAGTGAGAGGCCCGCGTACCGCAAAAAAAAAAAATGAGCAAGGTTGGTTTACATATATTGACATGTCCAAGACTGATCATGTGAAAAAATAAAAACAATTTGTATAATGTGATTATACATTTTTAAAAAGCACATGGATAGAACAGTCTTAGAAAAAGATACGTAAGACTGTATATAGATCTGTTAATGGTGGTTATGACTGGAGAGCAGAATGACAGGACCTTATGCTTACTACATTTTTTCTGATATGTAAATATTTTACAATGACAACGTATTGCTTTGAAATTAAAAAAAGAAAATAGAATAGGTGATGTTACAGAAAAATGTGTAATGACAAGGTACGCACAAAATAATTTTAAGAAAAAAGTGGTTTTTAAAATAGTATGCAGTATAAAAAAACACACACAAAAGAGTATATGAAGGATTATTCCATGTCTGTAAAAAAATTATATATATGTATATATGTATAGCTTGCATAGAAAAACGTGTTAACAGTAGCTATCCTTGGACAGTGGGATTTTAGGAGTTTTTGTTGTTGTTGTTGTTGTTCTTTTTGATTTAGATTAAAACTATTCCAAAATGAAAATACATAATTTTTAAATAAGAGAAATTTTTAAACAAAGATATTAATATTCTTACTACATAAAGAACTCTCATAAATTAGTAACAAAGGACAAAACTAACCAGAAAAATATAGACAAGAGTTAGGTACTAACAACAGAAGAAGAAATACAAATGTTCAATAAACATAAAGATGATCAACATTTTTGAAGAAAAAAACAGTAACATCATTTTTCACCTATCAAACTGGAAAACAAAAACAATTGTAATATGCAGTGTAGATGAGGGTTCAAGGGGGTATAATTTCTTTGAAAGGAGCATGCTCATTCTTTTCTGGTAGGACAGTACATCCATACTTTTAAGGGGCAATTCAAAAATGCATAACCAAAAGCCTTGGATTGTACATATCCATCGACCCAGATATTCTAATCCTAAGAATTTATACTAGGGAAATATTTGTAGCAAATACTTAGCTACAAGAATGTTTATTATCAACACTGCTTATAATAAAGAGAAACTGAAAACAACTGAAAGGAGTTACATTTAGGGGACTGGTTAATATAAGGAATTGATTACACTATGGCATGTACGTATATTTTATTCTTCGCTGCTATTTAAAATGTCATACATATATACACTACTATGTATAAAATAGATAACTAATGAGAACCCACTGTATAGCACAGGGAACTCTACTCGGTGCTCTGTGGTGACCTAAATGGAAAGGAAATCCAAAAAAGAGGGGATACATATGGCTGATTCACTTTGCTGTACAGCAGAAACTGACACAGCAGTGTAAAGCAACTATAGTCCAAAAAAATTTTTTTAATTAAAAAATAAAATGATGTCATAATAGAACACCAATTAATCTCAAAAAGGAGTTGAGTGAAAGAACTGAAACTCAAAGAGCACATACTGTATTATTCCTTTTATATAAAGTTCAAGAATAAACAACACTTATGTGTAGTGATAGACGTCAAAGTAGCGGTTGACTTGGGGTGATATTGACAGGAAGAGGGCAAAAGGGAGCTTTCAGGGGCAATCAAAATGCTCTAGATTTCAATCTGGGTGGTGGTCACATAGGTGTCAAAATATGTTATAAAATTCATCCAGCTGTTTGCATAAGATTTGTGCACTCACTGTATGTAAATTATACCTCAGTAAGTGCTATCATAAAATATCACATCACAAAATGATGTGATAATGGCTCTTAAAATATGAATTATGCACAACCTCATTGTTTATAAGAGAAATGAATATTAAGACTATGAAGTAGCATTTTAACCTATCGAAGTGGCCAAAATAAAATAGCTTGACGATGGGACTTCCATGGTGGTCCAGTGGTTAAGGCTCCATGCTTCCACTGCAGGAAGCATGGGTTCGATCCCTGGTCAGGGACTTAAGATCCCACATGCATGCAGTGGCCAAAAATAGTTTGATGATGCATTGCACTGGCTGGGCCCTTAAATATACATATGGTCGTTCAATTGTTTGTAATAGTAAATGATTAGAACAACCCTAAATATCCGTATCCATCAATAGAGACCTGGCTAAATAAATTATGGCATATCCCTACAACAAATTATACAGTTGTTAAAAAGAATGAGATAGATATTTCTGTGCTGATACAGAAGGATCTCCAAGACTCACTGTTAAGTAAGAAAAAAGCAAGGTACAGAACAATATGTATAGTATGCTATCATTTGTGTTAAAACAAAGTGCATGCATGTATATATGT